GTGGCTAAGATTGAAGTCACTCAGATGGACTTAGATTGGCAACATAAAGGTGAATTATTTTTGGCCCGTTGGCAGCACAGCACTTCAGGCCATCAGGGCAGAGATGCAACATACAGATGGACTCGTAATCGAAGGGAGTACTTAACAATGGACACTATTGCCCAGGTTATTCATGAGTGTGAAACATGTGTTGCAATTAAACAAGCCAAACGGTTAAAGCCTCTTTGGTATGGAGGACAATGGCTGAAGTATAAATATGGGTAGGCCTGGCAGATTGACTATATCACACTGCTGACAACCGGCCAATGCAAGTGCCATGTGCTTACCACGGTGGAAGCAACCACCGGGTGGCTGGAAACATACGCTGTGCCCCATGCCACTGCCCAGAACACTATCCTGGGCCTTGAGAAAGAGATTTTGTGGCGACATGGCACCCCAGAGAGAATTGAGTCAGACAACGGGACTCATTTCTGGAATAACCTAATAGATATTTGGGCCAAAGAGCATGGCATTGAGTGGGTATATCACATCCCCTACCATGCACCAGCCTCTGGGAAAATCGAACGGTACAATGGGCTGTTAAAAACTACACTGAGAACGATGGGTGGGGGAACTTTCAAGCATTGGGATACACACTTACCAAAGGCCACCTGGTTGGTCAACACCAGAGGATCTGTCAACAGGGCTGGCCCAGCCAAGTCAGAACTTTTAGATATTGTAGAGGGGGACAAAGTTCCCGTGGTGCATATGAAGAATTGCTGGGGAAGACAGTCTGGGTTATTCCTGCTTCAGGTAAAGGCAAAGCCACTCGTGGGATTGCTTTTGCTCAGGGACCTGGATATACTTGGTGGGTAATGCGGGAAGATGGGGAAGTCCGATGTATACCTCAAGGGGATTTGATTTTAGGGGAAAACAGCCAGTGAACTTAATTGTATGCTGTTGCCTGCTGTGTAATACTTTTAAAGCTTGTCAACTAGATGTCTTCAGGTCACCAGCGACTAGCCCTGACTTCCCTCCAACCATCATCCCAACAGAGAATGAGCTTGGATAGAACAAGATGAGTTCTTCAGTAAAGGAACGATCAGCATCAGCAGGCAACTATCCAATACTGCACACAGCCTTTCCTGCCCTGAAAGATTGTTACAAGAGATGGAACCTGACATCATGGACCAAATGAACTCGGCAGCATTATAGGGATTGGTCCATGCACTAAGAAAATGATCTTTTTCTCGGTCTGTGTGTGTATGTGGATGTATGTATGTGGGAGAGCAATGGTATATTGAAAACGTGGGATCTGAGTATGACGTGAATGGTATGGAATAAGGGGTGGATACTGTCCTGGGTTTAGCAGTAGCAGTCAGTTTTTCTCCTTCTTGGTAGCTGGTGCAGTGCTGTGTTTTGCCTTTCAGCCTGGGAACAGTGCTGATAATACCGATGTTTTCAGTTGTTGCTAAGTAATGTTTACCCTGACCAAGGACTTTGTGAGGCTCATGCTGTGCCAGGGAGGAAGGGAAGCCGGGAGGAAGCAGAAACAGGACACCTGACGCAAGCTAGCCAGGGAGGTATTCCATACCACAGCACGTCATGCCTGGGGGGGTAACTGGGAGTTACCCGGAAGGATACGGGGTCTTATGGGTCAGACTTGTTTCTCGGCGGGTGGTATTACATACTCTTCTCTTGTTATTTTCTCTTATTGTTGTCGGTGGTGGTAGCAGTGGTGATTTGTGTTGTACATTGTTCGCTGGACTGTTCTTGTCTCAACCCATGGGATTTGCATTCTTTCAATTCTCCCACCCATCTCTCCGGGAGAGGGGAAGGGGAGAAGCCCCGGGGGGGAGGGGGGGGGGGGGCCTATTGCTTCCAGCCTGGCACCACTCACTGGGGGTGAGTGAACGAGCTGTCTGGCTAGGTTCAAACCATGACAATCTGCCTTGAACTCCCTTGCCCTGGCTTGCCCTGCTTTGCCTTGCCTTGTCTTGCCTTACCCTGCCCTGTCCTGCCATGCCCATCCTGGCATTGCCATACCTTGCCTTACCTTGCCCTAACTTGTCTTGCCCTGCCTTGCCTTGCCTTGCCTTCCTTGCTGTGCCTTGCCTTGCTCTGCCTTACATTGTGTTGCCTTGCCTTGCCTTGGCCTTCCTTGCCTTGCCTTGACTTGCCTTACCCTGCCCTGCCTTGCTGTGCCCATCCTGGCATTGACTTAGCTTGCCCTAACTTGTCTTGCCCTGCCCTGCCTTGCCTTGCCTTGCCTTCCTTGCTGTGCCTTGCCTTCCTTGCTGTGCCTCGCCTTGCTCTGCCTTACATTGCGTTGCATTGCCTTGCCTTGCCTTGCCCTGCCTTGCCCTGCATTGCCCTGAACTGCCCTGCCTTGCCCTGAACTGCCCTGCCTTGCCTTGCCTTGCCTTGCGTTGTCCTGCTCTGCCCTGCCCTGCCATGCCCGTTCTGGCCTTTGCCTTGCTTTGCCTTGCCTTGCCTTGCCTTGCCTTGCCCTACCCTGCTCTTCCTGGCCTTGCCTTGCCTTGCCTTGCTGTGCATTGCCTTGGTCTGCCTTGCCATGCCTTTGCCTGCCTTGCCTTGACCTGCCTTGCCTTGCCCTGCCCTGCCCCTTCTGGCTTTTGCCTTTCCTTGCCTTGACTGGCCGTGCCTTGTCTTGCCCGTCCTGATCTTGCCTTGCCTTGCCTTGCCTGGCCCTGCTATGCCCTGCCCTGCCCTGCCCTGCCCGTCCTGGTCTTGCCTTGCCTTGCCTTGCCCACTACTCCCTTGCTCCTACACCTGGGATGGCACCAGCACATCTCCTGACAGCTTCTCCTCCCTTCACAGCACGCACCCACAATGTGTTTGAGGCCAACACTAAAACAGGATTGCAAAGTCAAAGAACACGGACCTGGATGCGCAGGACAGCCCTGGGAGATGCAGCCTCCCGAGGGAGGGGTCTCGTCTGCACTGGTTACTGCAGGGCTCTGGCTCCTTAAATAGCCCACGCTCACCGTGGGGGCCCCATCACAATGGGCAAATCCACAGCGACCGCCACGGCTTTGGGATGGCGGCAGCATCGTGCCCATGGCCACTGGGCACCCAGGGGTGCTCCGGGCGTGGCTGCGGGGGGACCAGCCTCTGCCCAGCCGGCTCGGGGAGGTCCCTCACGGACTGCTCTTCCTCAGTGCCTTTGGTCCGGAGGTGGAGCATGCGAGGGGTCACAGCTCAACGTGGGCCATGGAACAGGGCGTCACGGCCACCTACGAGGAGTGGAGAGGGACCGACATTGGCACAGCAGAGAATCATGGAATCCCAGAGTGGGCTGGAAGGGACCTTAAAGCTCAGCCAGCTCCAACCCCCAAAGGCATGGGCAGGGACACCTTCCACTAGAGCAGCTTGCTCCACGGCCCTGTGTCTCTGTGCACTCCCAGGGCATCCTGGGGATACCCCTAGAGAATCCCAGAGAATGCCTGCAGCACCTCCAGAGCACCCCATGGACCCAGTCAGAGCTCATGCATCACAATGACCTTGGGGACATGGAGACCACAGGGGTGGCTGATTCTGGAACTCCCCATATTCAGGTGTGTGAGGTCACAGAACCCCACGGAACCCTTCATAGGAGGCACTGGGAGATGACAGCTGCCCCACGGAAAACAAGCTACCGGTGGAGGTGGCAAGAGCAGCTCCTCTGGTGGTTCCCGTCTTGGTGTCTCGGAGCCGGTGCCGCCTGTGGACAGAAGAGCGTGGAACGAGGTGGGTGGCGATGGCGATCTTGGGGTGCTGTAGGAGTTGCCAGAACACCTCAAGAGACTTCCCCAGAGTGGCTGCTTTGGACTCGGTGTGTGAGTTGGGCTGGCTGAGCCGGCAGCGGAGCGCTGCGGCTGCCGAAGGATGATCCTGGGATCTGCCCTCATTTCTTGTGGGGAGAACAAGGGCCCGTGGGGATGGGCCAAGGGGGAACGATTTTAACGTGACAGAGAGGGGAGATTGAGATGAGATCTTAGAAGTTGTTCCCTGTGAGGTTGGTGGGACAGTGGCACAGGGTGCCCAGAGAAGCTGTGGCTGCCTCATGGCTGGGAGTGTTCAAGGCCAGGTTGAATGGAGCTTGGAGCAAGCTGCTCTAGTGGAAGTTGTCTCTGCCAGTGGCAGGGGTTGGAGCTGGATAAGCTTTAAGGTCCCTCCCAATCCAAACCATTGTGTGCTTCCGTGATATCCTCAAGTCCCCAGTGCTGCCGGGTGGCAGACCATGATGCTGGCACGTACTGCCGTGGGCTTGCTGGCAGTTGAGTGCTAGGCCTGGCTCTTGCCCTGTCTTTTTGGACACTGCAGTGGGTGCTGCATGCAAGGAGGGATGTGGGAAGAGGCTCTGTGCTGGCTGAGGTGGCATGGTCCTGCTGGGACCTGAGTTTCTCCCCCCAGGAACCCTGTGGGCAGGAACTGGGGCTTTGTCACTCTCCTGGGTTCAGCAGTAGCCGGCATTTTTCTCCTTCTTAGTAGCTGGTGCAGTGCTGTGCTTTTTGACTTTCAGCCTGGGAACAGCGCTGATAACACCGGTGTTTTCAGTTGTTGCTCAGTAATGTTTACTCTGACCTAGGACTTTCTGAGTCTCACGCTTGGCAGGGAGGAGGGCAAGCCAGGAGGAAGCAGAGACAGGTCACCTGACCCAAACTAGCCAAAGAGCTATTCCAAACCACAACACGACATACCCACTATATAAACTGGGGACAGTTACACGGAAGGGGTAGTTCACTGCTCGGTCAGGCTGGGTATCGATCGGCAGGTGGTAAGCGGTTGTATTCTCTTCCCTTGTTATTTCCCTTACCATTATTATTACTGGTGGTAGCAGCAGTGATTTGTGTTACACCTTAGTTACTGGAGTGTTCTTATCTCAACCCGTGGGAGTTGCATTCTTTCCATTTTCCTCCCCATCCCTCTGGGAGCAGGAGGATGGGGGGGTGGTAGGGAGTGAGCGAGCGGCTGCGTGGTTCTGAGTTGCCAGCTTGGCTTAAGCCCCAAAAGTCACTGCTGTCATTGCACAGAAGGGCATCCCCTATCCAAGGAGGCTGTGTTGGTCTCTGCTTCCTTGCCACTTCCGCCTAGGACAGGCTTGAGCTGCAGCCCAGCAGCCCTGCTCTGCCTCCCTTTGGCTGCATGGCCTCGGTCCAATGTTTCCTGTATTCCAGACTGGGAAATGCTCTGTGTGCTCTGGGAAAGCCTGAGAGTCCCCTTTCAATACTCCCTTCAAGGGCATCCTCTCCTCAACATGCTATTGATTCCTGAATCCTGGAATTCCAGACTGGATTGGGCTGGAAGGGACCTTAAAGCTCATCCAGTTCCAACCCCTGCAACGGGCAAGGACACCTTCCATTAGAGCAGGTTGGTCCAAGCCCCTGTGTCCAACCTGGCCTTGCACGCTGCCAGAGATGGTACCCTGTGCCAGTGTCCTACCACCCGCAAACAGAAGAGCTTCTTCCTGAGATCTCGTCTCACTCTCCCCTCTGTCAGGTTAAAGCTGTTCCTCCTTGCCCTGTCCCTACAGGCCCTTGCAAATAACCCCCCTCCAGATTTCTTGTAGGCTCTGTTTAGGAATGGGCTTAGTAAGGTCTCCCTGGAGCCTTCTCCAGGCTGAACCCCCCCAGCTCTCTCAGCTGTCATTACTGGAGACATGCTCCAGCCCTTAGAGCATCTTTGTGACCCTTCATAAGCCCATCATTGTAGGATCAGAAGTGAACAGAGGTTGGAAGGGACCCCAGGACATCTCAAGTCGAACCTGTCAGGAGCAGAGTCAGAGCAAGTGGTTCAAGGCTCGATTCAGGCTGAGTTGGAAATCCCCAGGGCCAGAGACTGCACAGCCTCTCTGGGTGACCTGATGCAGCACTTGCCTGAGCCTATGGGAACAAGTTTTCCTTCTGTCCTGGCTGAACCTCTCCTCTGTCACTATCCCCCACTGCCTTTTGTCCTCCCACCAGGCACCATGGTGAGGAGCCTGGCTCTGTATTCTCCATGACCTCCTTGTTGCTACAGGCAGACAGTCCCCAACAGCCTTCCCTTCCCATGATCTCAGGTCCCCATCAGCCTTCCCTTCTCCAGGCTGGAGAAGCCCAGCTCCCCCAGACTCTCCCCACAGGCACCACGCTCCAGTATCTCCTGACCTGAGGGCCCACTACTAAACCCACTCCTGAACTGGGGATCTGAAACCTGCATGGAGGATTCCAGATCATCCCTTCCCTTGTTCTCCTGCCGTGCTCCTGCTCATACAGCCCACGATGCTGCTGTCCTCCCTTGCTGCCAGGGCACACGCTGCCTCCTGTCCAGCTCCTGCCCACCCAGACCTCTCCCATGGGCTGTTCTCAGCCGGGCAGCCCCAGCCTGTGCCATTGCAGGGCAGTCCCCTGCAGGGACCCCTGTGTCCCCTGCTCCCCTGCCCAGGACACCCTGAGAGCTCTGCAGCCACCCCATGCCATCCCATCTCCCCACACCAGCACAACAGCCCCGGGCCTTGGGTTCCCCAAGAGCTCTTCCTGCTGCAGGCACAGAGCAGCCATCCCAGAGCTGGACCAGCCAGAAAGCTGCTTTCATTCCCTTCATTCCTGCCATGTGAGGACATATCACAGAGAAGAAGTTGCTGCAGGATCATTTATTTCCCTTAAATAGACACCTCCATTGACACAAAGCCTGGGTGTCAGACAACACGAGTGGCTACTTAAGCAGGAGGAGATGAAAACTGACATTTCTATGAAGACATCACAACAAATCGAAACAGGAAAACAAATGTAAAGCAGGAAAAACAGATATGGCCTGTCATGACCTACACTGGAAGCCCTTTCCAGGGTAAAGCAAGCAGCGTCCATCTGCTGAAACACATCTGGTCACCAGCTTCCTCACAGCATCCTTGAGCTCCTGGTTCCTCAGGCTGTAGATGAGGGGGTTCACTGCTGGAGGCACCACCGAGTACAGCACTGACACCACCAGATCCAGGGATGGGGAGGAGATGGAGGGGGGTTTCAGGTAGGCAAATGTGCCAGTGCTGAGAAGCAGGGAAAGCACAGCCAGGTGAGGGAGGCACGTGGAAAAGGCTTTGTGGCGTCCCTGCTCAGAGGGCATCCTCAGCACGGCCCTGAAGATCTGCACATAGGACCCCACAATGAAAACAAAACACCCACATGATAAACAGACATTAACCACAAGAAGCCAAACTTCCCTGAGGTAGGAGCGTGAGCAGGAGAGCTTGAGGATCTGTGGGATTTCACAGAAGAACTGCTCCACAGCATTGCCTCGGCACAGGGGCAGTGAAAATGTATTGGCTGTGTGCAGCAGAGCAGTGAGAAACCCAGTGCCCCAGGCAGCTGCTGCCAGGTGGACACAAGCTCTGCTGCCCAGGAGGGTCCCATAGTGCAGGGGCTTGCAGATGGCCACGTAGCGGTCGTAGGACATGACAGTGAGGAGAGAATACTCTGCTGACATGAGAAAGACAAAGAAAAAGAGCTGTGCAGCACAGCCTGTGTAGGAGATGGCCCTGGTGTCCAAGAGGGAATTGGCCATGGATTTGGGGACAGTGGTGGAGATGCAGCCCAGGTCCAGCAGGGAGAGGTTGAGGAGGAAGAAGTACATGGGGGTGTGGAGGTGCTGGTCACAGGCTGTGCTGGTGATGATGAGGCCGTTGCCCAGGAGCGCAGCCAGGGAGATGCCCAGGAAGAGCCAGAAGTGGCAGAGCTGCAGGTCCCGCGTGTGTGCGAATGGCAGGAGGAGGAAGTGGGTGATGGAGCTGCCGTTGGACATCTGCTGCCTCTGGGCATGGGGCACCGTCAGAGGAGAAAAAGGCAGTGACAGGTTAGGACAGGAGGGATGTCAGATACAGAAGTTCAGTTTACACATTCACAACTGAGCACATTTTAGCAGGAGAGGAGAGGTTCAGCGTCATCACCAGTCATGTCATTACACTGCTGAGGCTTCTTCCTAGGTACAATCAGAAGAGCATTGCATCAGGCAAAAAGTCTCAGTTCTTTGCAGAACCAAGAGAGCTGCAGTGTCCATCAGTCCTCTCCCACTTGCCCTGTGCTCAAACTTGCACTGCCTGTAAGGTTCCTTCACACACAAATTGATCTTAAGACCTCCCACAAACATCTGTCCTGTGCTGAGACCAGGGGAGAACGGTTTCAAAGGACAGTCCACAGAGCTCTCACGGGGAGAAGCAAAGAGCTGTGGGCAGCAGAGCACTGCCAGCAGCCACCTCCAGTGGCAGACCCCAAGAGAGCTGCCTGAACGCACCCTCCCCAGGGCTGGGCTGCACTTTCCCCTCACTCCCTGCCCATGTCTCTGCTGCCTGGAGCTGTCCCTGCCAGGAGCTGCTGCTCTGTGCCCACCTCTGCTCCCTCTCAGTGCTCCCAGAGCCCATGCCATGGGCTGTGTGCTCAGCTCTGCCCTGCACACCCCTCCCGGCAGCACGGCTCTGCCCTGCACACCCCTGCCTGTGCAGGGGCTCAGGAGCAGCTCACACAAGTCCTCACAAGTCTCTCGGTGCCTCCCCCAAAGCAGAGAAGTAAATTCCCAGCTCCCACTGCCCAACCTGCCCACAACAGAGGGAAAAACATCAGAGCTCAGGATCCTTCCCTATCAGGTAAATGATGCCTCAGTGTCTTTCAGAAGGACCCTCTGCAAACGTGATGAGAGTGATGTGGAGCTCTGAGCAGCCCTGACCCACACAGCACCCTCTCCCGTGCACAACAACACTTTCCCTTCCCTGCCACTGCTTGTTCCTTCCCCCGCAGCTTCTCCCCCAGCACCGTGGGGAGCTCCTGGGCAGGCTGAGTGCAGACCCTGGCAGGCAGCAGAGTCCCTGCCCCGGCACACAGCCCCTGGGGACCTGTGCAGCTGCCGGGCCCCTGCTGCAAGGGCAGCGCTGGGCACCCCTGGCTGCACACCCACATTCACACCCTGGAGCCAGCCCCGGGACAAGGGAAATGACCTGCCTTGTCCTGTCCCTGCATGGTGCAGGGGGAAGCCCTGCTCTGCAGCACATCCTCCTCCTTATCTACACAGAGACCAAGAGACAGATGCCATGGACTGTGAGAGGCAGGAGCTTGAGGAGATCTCTCCAGGAGCTGCAGCTGCATTGCCCTGCACCCAGAGCCTTACCATGCACAGGTCTGGGAAGGTTTCTCCTGCAGGGAGCTCTCAGCATCCTCCACTGCCAAGGGCCTTTAAGCTCTCTGAGGCTCGCAGGTCTGCCCTGGGTGCCTGCAGGCAGTGCCCCAGCCCTGCTCCTGGGCAGAGCTGTCTCTCTGCAGCGCTGCCCGCTTGCCAGCATCTATCTGCGTCCCAGGAGCCAGGCCCAGCTCTGCCTCTGCCCTGCTGGGCTCCCTCCAGGGCTCCCTGGGGCTCCAGGGGAACACCATGGGAAACAGCCTGAAGCAGGCACTGATGTTCCCTCCCCCAGCTGGAAGACACACTGCCTTCCTGCAGTGCCATTTCTCTGATGAGAGGCAGAGTTTGGTCTGAATAACAGGATTGTGTAGAATCATGGAATCATTTAGGTTTGAAAAGACCCTTAAGAACATCGAGTCCACAATTAACTGAACACTGGCAAGTCAGCACATCAATATTGTCACCTAGAACATGTCATTTAGATATCTCCAGGGATGGTGACACAACCACTTTTGCAGGCAGCTTGTTCATTAATTATCAAAAAGACGCCCTGAGGGCTGGAGCATGTCTCCCATGATGACAGGCTGAGAGATGTTGGTCTTCAGCCTGGAGAAGAGAAGGTTCCAGGGAGACATCTTAGCAAACTTCCCGTGTCTAAGCAGGGCCTACAGAGAATCTGGAGAGGGGCTTTTTATGAGGCTGTGCAGTGACAGGACAAGGGGGAATGGCTTTAAGCTGAAAAAAAGGGAGATTTAGCTTGACATTAGGAGGAATTGTTCCCTTTGAGGGTGGTGGGACACTGGCACAGGGTGCCCAGAGAAGCTGTGGCTGCCCCATCCCTCGCAGTGTTCAAGCCTGGATTGGATTGGAGTCAGCTTTGCTCATAAGCAGTGATTTCTCCAGCTCTGATTTTACAACGGATGTCAGATGAAATCCAACTTGGTTGTAAAGTTTTCTACATGTACTCATGATTCGGATGCATGTGGGCTGCACAACTGAAGCTCAGCATGCCTTTAGAATCATTTTGTCTGTGTTATTTATTTACTGGCATAACATTGCTGAGGTTTTGGGGAGTATAAAACATTATTTCTTTGAAAGAAAATCAGAAAAGTATTGAATCAG